TGACATCGGTGTTGCAAATAACATCATTTGCCATTCGGGCCCCAGCACACGGTCATCCTTGCTGCCAAGAGAAACAAGAAGGCAGTCAAGGTATTTTTCTAACTTAGAATGAAGAATGTGGTCCTTCAAAACAATTTCAGTTGTTCATGAGTTTCCAAAAAGCAGGGCTCAGGAGCCTTTTTATATTTTTTCTCCCCTTTTGATTTCACTGGTCAAAAACACTTTATCTTTTCCTGTAATGTCAGTCAGTATAGAGCTATGGCACCACCTGTTGTGACATTGCTTAAATGCTGACAGGAAATGATTATTTCCTATCACAACATTCTTTCACTGGAGTGGCCAAAAGCTGTGATAATGGTCACTATAATTCCTTGGCTAGATGCCTTCATAATATTAAAAATAATGCCTTCCCTCCTCCTGCTCTCCCTCCATCCCTCTGAGAAATGCATGCTAGTACAACGAGTACCATTCTCTAAGGGGGGGGGGGGGTGTAGAAGGAGATGGGGGCAGGCCAAGGATGGTGTCTGCAAATGTCACATCAAACTGGTTCAGGAACACCTCCTCAAATGTTTTAAAGAAGTTGCCCTAATTTGGAACTTAAAAAGGAGGATTAGTCAAAAATAATTAAAACAGCACAATGGAATAAAGCATATATAGTTTTATTAATAGTTCTTTTAAACAGAATCAAACTCTTAGAAACCGGACTCCAGGAATTAGTTTTCTGAAGAATCCTACACAAGGATAATTAATTTAAAATGCAATGTTTTGTAGGAAAATAGATTTAAGGGCATAAAGGAATCAAGTTATTTTATGAAAGCATTTATGAATACTTTTTCTCATTAATATCTAAGATTAACTAAAGATGTATGAATCTTAACTCCAACCATCGTTAGGGGTCTTAAAATGTATGCATCAAAAATTCTTACAGGTGAATCCAATCCTAAACCCAGGTACTTTCTCTCTCATTTTCATTTCTGGGTCCCAAGACTTCATTTCAAAACATTATACTCTGTCTGTGGGAACTTAGGCAAGTCTCCTCAAGTTCCAGTTTCTTCATTTATAAAATGGGGAAAATAATGATAGCTTGCCTTAGAGGGTGTGTATGTGTGAAGTATAAAGGAGATAATGCATATAAAAAAACTTATGTGCCATATAATAAATGCTTGATAAATGCTACTATAATTCTACTACTCAACACTGACATTTTAGCTATTAAACTTTTTTCACTTTTAAAAAATACTCCTAAAAAGAATACTTAGGGTTTGTGTACACTCAATCCAAAGTTACCAAGAAAGATATACAAATGTAAATCTATATACACTAGATATTTTCATAATGAAAACCTGTATTTAAGGAATGACTTACTGTATATGTTATGCATTATAATAGTGTAACAGAGCAAATAAAAATCCCATATGGTCTTAACTATGTTCCAGCACTGGTGTGCTCTCTGGGGATACAGAAATAAATTAAAGTTAAATGAAAGAGACTGTGTTTTATGGTATTCAGGAGAGCATACTTGGAGGAGGTGGCAACTTAATTAACCTAAAATTATGGGTAGGAAATAGCTTTTCAAAGTCTTAGATCCAAGAAGTCTAGGTGGACAGAACATCATACAAATGTGAGTAGAACAGAAAGGAACACAGTTCACCTGGGGCACACAGTCCTTAGTGGGAAGCTTTAGGAGACAACTTGAAACTAGGGAATCTGATCTTCAGACCACAGTGTTTGGATTAAGTGTTAAATATTAGTTATGATTAGTCCTATAGAGAGGAAAATTTTTAAAAGGGTCACTATCAGGTATATCTTATAAGCTCTTCATTTGATCCCTCTTCTTGTTATCTAAAATAATATCAAAAAACACAAAAGAAAATGTATTTTCCCCTGATTTCTGAAGCAACATGTACTTACAGGGAACTATTCAGAGGCTCTGTAAAAGTGAAAAGAAAATTTTGCCAGACTTATTAATGTTTTAGGACATAAAATGTTCAAAAAGGAGGGTGAGAGATGCAAATGTTTCTGTAAGCAGCAATGACGGCCAAGTTATGTGGCCCTCTGTAAATCTGAACTGAGAGAGACTACTTACTCATACTTCAGTTGCTAAGCAACATCAACACCAGGTAAAATATCACCTGTATTGACCCTTTTGCTGAAAATTACAACAGAAGCTTCACAAAAAAAATGACTTCTGGATTGACCATAACATTTCTCAAAATAGTAAATGAACAGAAAACTACAGAGTTCAAGTAGTTCAAGATCAAGAAAGAGAAAATGTAAATTATAATTAGCTTTCAAATAATAAAATCCTTTCCAATTGATTTAAAATGTTTAATTCAAATCTATTTCAAAACTTGTGTTCCATAAACTATCAGTATAACATAGAAATTAAAGTTCCTCAACGACAACATACCTATATCCAAATGGGGCTGTGTTTGATTCTAGAATGTATTAATGTTTAGATTTGCATTTATAAGACATGTGGTATAAGAAATATATGTGCCCTATAATTCAGTGAAACATGAAAAGTTTCTGACTGAGAAGTTGCTACAAAAACAATTGCTGCAAATCTATCCAGATTTTTGCTACAGATGGGACTTCTTCCTGTCCTCTTCTCTACTGCTTTCTATGGCTGGACATCTCTCCTCTTCCACTGGAACCTTTCCAGTTGTTGCTATGGGAGTAACTCCTGCTATACTCTCTCTTTGTATGACATTGTTCCAAGGAAACTAAAATTGTTTTGAAAGACTGAATTCTACCATTGTCAGCAAAATATCCTGACTGCCTTTTGATTCTGTTGGCAGCCAGGAGGGCAGTGTGCTGGGGTCTGAATGGCAAATGGTATTATTTGAAACACTGATGTCACTTTTGGATATGTTCCAGTGGGTTAATAATCTAAATCTTTGAGAATATATCAATAAAATCCCATTTTGTACATATCCATGTGTTCCTTGTAGAATTTTAAAAATGATGTTGAAAAATGGAAACAACCTATATGTCTAATAGGGTATTGGCTATATATAAACCATTATGCATAATAAAATTCTATACTACCATTAAAACCATGAAACTATTTAGTGAAAAGGAAAGATAAACATAATATATTGTTTTGCAAGGAAATCACAGCAATCTTATGAACACTATTTTTGTTTTTGGTTTAGGTGTTCAATTTATTAAAGCACACAGAAAAAATAAACCTAAGAACTATAAACCAAAATATTAATGGTTGTTATGGATGGATCCTAGAAAATAATAATTTTCTTTTTATAAGACTTTCATAAATTCTCTAAAAAAAGCACTATCACTTTTGTAATAAGGAAAGAATATGTTGAAAATGTAAATGTTTTAGCAGAAAATGTTTATTATCAATCTCCCCATTCTCCTTTGCTCTTAAACCCACTCCAATCCAGCTTGCCCCTACCACAGTCTATCCCAGTAGCAGCTGCACAAGGCAGGTTGTCAGAGCTCATATTTAATTCTCAGTCTTTATTTTACTTTGCCTCATTTTATTTCACAAATTTGACCACTCTCTCCCCACAAAATTTCCTTCAAGCAGCTTCCAGGGCACCACTTAAATGTCATTTTATTTTTCTGGTCACTTGTTAGTACCCTTGGTTGGCTCTTCTTCATCTTCCAGATCTATAAGTTTTGCATGGTCTCACAGATCAGACTTCAGGCCTCTTCCCTTCTGTTTTTATATTTATTCCTTTGGGAATGTTACCTAGACTCATGACTTTAAAGACTATATATATGTATAGTGGAGATATATATATATATATATATATACACACCCCATATGTATATAGCCAGGTATGGCCTCTCCCAATAAGGCCTGACTCCTATTTCCGAATGCCTTCTTAGCATCCCTAGTTGGAAAACTGATGGGTATAAGAAGAGTAACATGCCCCAAAGGACGTCCTTACATCTGAACCTAAACTCGCTCCACCTGCAGTTTTCCTCACCTCTTTAAAATATCACTTTCTCTTTCTAGTTACTCAATAAAAGTTTCCTCCTAAAGTGAGGAGCTACTCATTTTTCACTCTATTTTTCTTACAAATTATGTCTAATTAATTTCCAATTCTTTAGCTGCAAAATATTTCAAGAATCTGATCATTTCCCAGTGATCTGTTATTTTAATTATCCTAAGATTTATGATCACCTAATTTACAATTTCGTGTTGATGATCCATTCTCTTCTACTTTAATCCTTATAGCGAATTGGCAAAAGCACCATTACCAATCACACACATATGTAGCAATTCTACAGTCATTTTTGAATAGCTGTGCCAGACAATCCTGAATTATAACTTAGTCTGACAGAGAATTCACAGTTTGCTAGTATATCTTGCCACAATGAATTGGAAAAGTGTCTGACCTTACAGATCATCTATATAATGTGAGGAGTATTAAATATTCTTTATTCGATATTATTCACAAACCATACTAAAATGCCTTTCATGAAGTAAAAGGCAATAGTTTAGATACAGGACGTTTTACTTAAATTGGCATAGTTAGGGCTAAAGAGATATAATGGGCGCTGCCAGCTTATCTTCAGCCCTTGCCTTTTAACAGGCTAATGAACACAATTTGAAACACAAGCAAGTCTTGCTTTTCTAATAAGCAGTGAAGTAGTTTCCTCAGTATTTAAACATGTTAATATAACCAGTTACATAAATCTAAATATAAAACTAATCTCCTGCAGGTTTTGAGATGGCATTCATCATCTCTGTGAAAAGTTGAAAATTACAAATCAAGTCCAATCATACTTTTAGAAGGGGAAAATAGTGATAGCAGTTGCCGAACCAAAATAACCATCCAAGTTCAAAAAGCTGATGATATTCATTTAACCACAAGCCAATATTATTTAAATTAGAATTGTCCAAAAGAAAGTCCATCAGCCATTCATGATCTGAATTCTGGTGTATGAGATCCATTTAAAAATGGTACCCATAAAAAAAAAAAAAGTCAGGAGACATTGGTAATAAATAAGGCAGTAGCCAATTATTACTCATAAGTAGCTTTTTTTTTTTTTTTGAGATAAGGTATCAAATCTGCCCTTTCTGAACTCTTCTTAATGCCAGCAAAGATCATTGTTGATCCACGGATGTACTTCTTGGGATTCTCCAAACATTCCATTAGTGCAGCCCCTCCCGAGATCATGCTTTGGTTGTTGACATCCTTGTAAGAAAACCCAGGGTCCTGACCTGTCCTTTGCCCAAACAGACCATGGAGGTTTGGCCCAGTCTTGCACTTGCCTCCCTTTTCCACAGTATGGCACTGCGCACACTTTTGAACAAAAATCCTCTTGCTCTTCTCAACATCACCCATTTTAAAGTCGCTCTTTTGTCACACAAAACACAGAGGTTCCCACTTACAAGCTAGACATTCCACTCTCTCTGATCATTTTTTTCAACACTGCCATCACCTGGTCTAGGCTGGGATCACTGCCTGGATTACCGAAAAGGCCCCCCACCTATTCTGTCTTCCTCCCTTGCTTGTCTATATATTAATTTCAAAACAGCAGCCAGAATGATCTTTAAAAAAAAAAAAAAAACTAACACATCAAAGCATTATTTTTTCTGCTCAAAACTTTCCAATGCATTCCCAACTCAAAGCAAAAGCTCAAGTCTTTACAATAGCCTAAGAGGCCCTACCTGCTCTGGGATTCTGTTATCAACCAGACCTCATCTCCAAATACTCTTCCTCTTGCTCATTCCATTGGAGCCACCTGGTCTTCTTATTTTTCCTCAAACTCCCCCACGCACATAACTGCCTTGGAAACTTTGTACTTCACTGTTCTTGGCTAGAGAACTTCTCCTCTGACCACTCACACTCACATCTTGCTTAACAATTCTCCATGTTTATCACCATTCTTTTATGAAATCATTACTTGCACATTTGTTCATTGTTTTCCTCCCCAACCTCCAGAATGTAAACTCCAGGAATCTCAGATTTTTAAATATTTTCTTTCATTACTATATCCACAGTACCTGAAACAGTTATCTGAGAGTAGTAGGTAACCGATAAACATTGTTTAAATGAATAAAGAAAATTTAAAGGAGTATCTTTATGACCTCAGGTAGAAAGAGTTTTTTAAACAAGACACAAAGAGTCTGAGCTCTAATGGAAATGATTGATATGCCCATGACCTGATGATCCGTGTTACTTTTTAAATGTCTTTACTACTGTTTGCCTAGTTTTTTTCTCGTCTTTCTGGAAGGACAGGAGTGGAGTCAGACACTATCCAATAGCCCTTGCAAGTGTTTATGCTTTTATTTTCACTTGCCTATTTATTACATTGTAACCTGCTTTCAAAAAAGAGATATGCACATCTCTGACATTTTCCTACATATTTAATTGTTCCACTATCTTGACTGCATCAGAATACTGTCAATAATGACAATTTTATTGACATTACTGTATTCAGTATATCACAGAATGATATTCAAGACATGACTAAATCAGCAGTATACATTACATTATATCAAAGTCTCTTTCATAAAACAGCATTCTACAATGATATCTTGCATTTTCCCACACTCTATAATTACTTAGCATATAGTACATAAGGTGATAGACAGTTAATAAAATTAGTATAGAGGAACTTTTGACACATATTTTGTTTTGTTATGAAAAAATATTTAGAACTTCTGGTCAGGATGGAGCTATAGGTACACACACTTTATCTCCTTGCACAACTACAGGAAAAATTACAACTAGACTACAAAATAAATACCACCCACATTCATCAGATAATCAAGCTTTATGGAAGTCCAACAACCAAGAATTTAAAGAAGCCGCATTCATCCAGAGGGGTAGAAGGGACAGAGATGTGGAGAGGCATGGGGACGTGGAACGGGCGGTCCCACATCCACATGTGGTGGATAAAAATTGGGAGAGATACCTCAGGAGTAAGGGATTCCAGCCTCAGACCAGACCACACAACCCAGGGTTCAAGTGCCAGGAAAATATGTCCCTATAACTTCTGGTTATAAAAACCAGTGGTGGTTGGGATGGCAGAATAAACTGCAGGATTCTCAGGAGAGTCTTCTCCAAGGGCCTGCAACAGTATTAGGGCTCATGCAGACCCAGCCCCTCTGGGATTCAGCACCAGGGCAACAGCTGGAAGGGAATCAGTGGCATACAGGGAGAAAGTGAAGTGACTGGCAACAGGGCAGGTGCTGGGAGAGCTTCCTCCTGGGCAAACATCCAGAGGAATACAGCAGCATTGTCCCCTCTCTGAGCCCTCTTCCAAACAGAGCCATAGAGTACTGACACAGGTTGTCCAGCCCTGGTGATTACCTAAGACTTCGTCCCAAACAAATTACAGGTGCCCTTTTCTACAATAGGCCACACTACTAAGGCAGGAAGTCAAAAAAAGCTCTACCTAATACACAGAAATAAACACAGGGAGACTGAAATTGAGGAGACAAAGGAATATCGCCCAAATGAAAGAACAGAATAAAACTTCAGAAAGAAAACGATTAACAGCTGCAGGAGACAGCCACAGACAGTAGATTCCTGGAGGTCTCAAGCAGACTGCCCAAAGTCAGACACAGTCAACATCTGACATCAGCAGAGGCAGATCTAGTGAAAAGAAAAAACAAACAAACAAACAAACAAAAACAGTGTTTCCCTACCTTAGAAGTTCACACCACAGAGTCAGGAAATCAAGACAGATCAATTTTAGAAGAAGAAACAAAAATGAAGAGTCTCACAAATAATGGGAAGACAAAGAAATGCCCCCCAATCGAAGGGAAAGAAGAATCCCCAGAAAGAGAATTAAATGAAAGAGAAGCAAGTAAACTATCAGATATTGAGTTTATAACAACGGTTCTAAGGAAGCTCAATGAGCTCAGTGAGCTCAGAGAGAACTGCCAAAACCTACAGGGAAACTACGAGAACATACTGCAAACTATATCAGCATGAAAATGGGCATAGAAACTATCAATAAGAGACAAGAGGAAATTAAGAATACAATTTCTGAATTGAAAAGAACACAGTAGAGGGAATCAAAAGCAGGCTAGATGAAGCAGAGGATCGAATCAGTGTGCTGGAGGACAAGGTAGAAAAAAGCTCCCAGAAAGAGCAAGAAAATGAAAAAGGACTCCAAAAGAATGAAGAGGCATTTAGGGAAATGCAGGACAACATGAAATATAATAATATCTGTATAAGAGGGATACCAGAAGGGGAAGAGGAGGAGGAAAGGTTAGAGAACCTGTTTGAAAAAAGAATGGTGGAAAACTTCCGTAATGGGAGAAAAGAAAAAGCCTCACAAGTCCAGGAAGCACATAGGGTCCCATTCAAGAGGAACCCAATGAGGCCCACTCTTAAGACACACCATCATTAAAATGGCAAATATCAAAGGCAAAGAGAGAATCCTAAAGGCAGCAAGGGAGAAATAGGTAGCAACATACAAGGGAGCCCCAATATGTCTAGCAACTGACTTCTCAACAGAAACACTGCAAGCCAGAAGGGACTGGCAAGAGATATTTCAAAGAATGAAAAGCAAAGTCCTGCAACCGAGACTGCTCTACCCAGCAATGTTCTCCATTAAAATGGAAGGCGAACTAAGGAGTTTCCCAAACAAAAGAAGGCTAAAAGAATATACCTCCACCAAACCAGAATTGCAAGATATGCTAAAGAGACTGCTTTAAGATGAAGAAAAAGAGTCAATGAATACCCAGTTCCTATTACAGTCACCAATACTTGATACTACCAATATTTTTAATACTTATTTCTCTGATTGTGACAATGATGTGCTATTTCAATTGTTGCTTTATTATTTGTTGAAACTAAACCTACTTTTGTATATTTCTTGCCTATTTCTATTATTTTGAAAAAGCTTTAAATGGCTTTTTGGTATTCTTTATCCATTTTTTGACTAAATATTTATAGAATGTTTTCCCTAAAAAAACTGTTAACACTTTTTAAGATGTGTTACAAATAATTTTCCATTCTATTACTTGTTCTTTAACTATTTTTATATGTATATTACTATATAGTCTTAAATGTTTAATATAGTCATATTGTCAGTATCTTACTTAACAGCTTCTGGGTTTGAATATTTTACTTCAGGGTAAGAAAAATATTAGTTTGTATTTTCTCCTAAAACTCCTTAGATTTTACATATTGATTTTTAACTCACCTGACTATTTTTTGTATAATGTGTGAAATAGATCTCTATAGTGGTTCTATTTTAAGTAATAGTGGTCCTTTGTTGAATAAGCCTCATAATCCCCATTGATTTGAAATATCAGTTTAATCATATATTACATTGATAGTCAGATTCATACATTTGTTTGTGGAATGCTCATTTTATTTCATTGATCTACTTGATTATTTCTGTGCTGCTGTCATGTTGTTTTAATTGCTGAACCTTCATAATAAATTTAATTTTTTAATATTTTATAATGGATTTTGACACTTAAAATAATCAATCAATCAATCTTCATTTAAGAAAAGAAAGAAGGAACTCTTCTTACCTTTTGCAACAACATGGATGGAACTGGAAGGGAAAAAAAAACAAACAACAAAATCCTCCAGAAAAAGAACTAAATGAAATGGAGATAAGCAACCTACCAGATGCAGAGTTCAAAACACTGGTTATCAGGATGCTCAAAAAACTCATTGGGTACTACAACAGTGTAAAAAAGACTGAGGCATAAATGAAAGTTGCATTAAGTAAAATAAAGAGAAATCTACAGGGTACCAACAGTGGAGTAAATTAAGCCAAAGATCAAATAAACAATCTGGAACATAAGGAAGAAAAAAGGATTCAATCCAAACAGCAAGAAGTAAAAGGAATTAAAAAAAAATGTGGATAGACTAAAGAGCCTCTGGGACATCTCCAAATGTACCAACATCCAAATATTAGGGGTCCCAGAAGGAGGTAGAGCAAAGAATTGAAAACTTATTTGAAAAAATAACCAAAAAAATTCCCTAATTTGGTGAAGGAAATGGACATAGAAGTCCAGGAAACACAGAGAGTCTCAAACAAGTTGGACCCAAAGAAGACCACACTAAGACACATCATAATTAAAATGCCAAAGGTTAAAGATAAAGAGAGAATCTTAAAAGCAGCAAGAGAAAAGGAGATAGTTACCTACGAAGGAGTTTCCATAAGACTATCAGCTGATTTCTCAAAAGAAACTTTGCAGCCAAGAAGGGACTGGCAAAAAGTATTCAAAGTGATGAAAAGCAAGGGCCGCAACCTAGATTACTGTATCCAGCAAAGCCATCATTTAGAATGGAAGGGTAGAAAGAGTGCTTCCCAAGCAAGGTCAAGCTGAAGGATTCCATTATTACCAAGCCCTTATTGTATGAAA